CCAGGACCCGGAGAGTGAGGGTGAGTCCGGTCCCCGGAGAGGGAGGGTGAGTCCGGCCCCAGAGAGGGAGGGTGAGTCCGGCCCCAGGGCCCAGAGAGGGGAGATGGGTGGGGTGGAGGTCGTGCTCCATGATGGCATAATACAGCGCCGGGCGGCTAGTAGGCAGATGTGCAGCCAGTCCCTGCGAGTCCATCCCTGAGTTTCCTCCGCAGAGTACTCGGGGACACGGAATAAGAACAACCGTGGGTCTAGAAGTGGGGTACACTGAAGGGCCGATGCCATGTATGTAGCCACACTCTTCCAGAAGTCCACCATAGAGGGACCGGACCATAAACAATGTGTCAGTGAGGGGCGTGTGATCCCAACTGCCGGGGTGTAGTCCCCATTGTGCGGAAGTATGCCCCATATGGCCGATCCCTCCAGTCCTCCACCACCAGTCTGCGTATCACATTATCGCCATCAATGATCCGGTGCTGGAAAGTCCTCGGACCGTTCTTTGGGGGATGGCAGGCGGGCTACATACATTTATAGACGCCGCAGACCTCAGAAATGGAATGACTCCCTCCCGTGACCACGGTCTCCAACAAGGCGGGTCACTGGAGAACATGCACCACGTTTACAATTGTGTTTTATTGGCCCGCAGGGACCCGACTCCTGGGGGAGCCATCTTAACCGCTCCAGTGTCACCCCGAAGTCCCACCACCTTGTATGGTGATGTTTCAGGTACTGGGGGCTGGAGGGGTTTAAGCATTGGAGGTGGGTGACGTTTCAGGTACTGGGGCATCTGTCACACGGGTCGGATGATGACATCACAGATCTGTCACACGGGTCGGATGATGACATCACAGATCTGTCACACGGGTCGGATGATGACATCACAGATCTGTCACACGGGTCGGATGATGACATCACAGATCTGTCTTTGACCCATTTCCATTGTTTTTCCTCAGAATCGTCCTTTGTCCTTGAAGAAGACGATTAATCGGAGCTCTCCAATTAGCGCCGAGAAGAAGACTAGATCTGTCACACGGGTCGGATGATGACATCACAGATCTGTCACACGGGTCGGATGAAGACATCACAGATCTGTCACACGGGTCGGATGATGACATCACAGATCTGTCTTTGACCCATTTCCATTGTTTTTCCTCAGAATCGTCCTTTGTCCTTGAAGAAGACGATTAATCGGCGCTCTCCAATTAGCGCAGAGAAGAAGAAGGCGGTCCTGTTTCCCGCCTGTGACCCGTTTGAACCATCCCCCGCCCCTGTGCTGCCTGCACCATCCCCCGGCCTCATTCATGATGATCCTCCTGACTCTGGGGAGGATTTGCCCTTCCTGGGCCTGAAAGCTCCCAGAATGAATGTAACCCCTTCTAGTCATGACGTTGTTGGTAAGAAGCTCCATCAGCTCCAGTCTAAAGTTGGGCAACGTCTGTCCTCACTGGACCATGACTGGTTGCAGAGATGTGAGGTCAGAGGGGCCGGGGGAGCAGGACGGAGAGATAAACCAATCATAGAAGACCGGAGAGGAACACCGGCTGGGACGGGGCCGATGGGCTCCCAGGAACGGAGGACATCTTCTGATTTCAGTAAGGATCAGTATGAGGTAAGACATGATGTGAAGTCACTAGATGACACAAAGACAAAGGTGTGTGTCATGTCTACAGAGGAAACTCCACGTACGACCTCCAATGCTGCAGAAAACAAGAAGATAAGTGAACCGCTAACAGCCAGATGGCAGAGCCATACCCTGGGGAAGGTGGAGACCAACACTGAGGAACAGAAGATGGTTCATCCCTCCGAGAAGAAGGAAGTCCTCTCTGCTCAGGAACAATATAAAGAGGAACACGCTGAGGGCGGGACGGGGACTGACCTGACCTCACAGGATGGAAAGATCCGGCAAAATGAAAGAGTCTCGCATAGGAAAAGGCGGAGAGATCCAACAGACCCTCCAGACTCCGATGATGTCCCCTCACAGAAGAGGCAAAGAGCCAAACTGACTGGAGAGAAGAGTCGCAAGCGAGGCTCCAAAAAGTCCACCGTAGAGGAAGTCTCCGAGGATCCCCCCAAATCTGAGGGTACCAGCCGAGAGGTGGAGAATATTCTGGGGGAGGTGATGGAAGAAGGTGTACGGAGAGTTGCTGCACAAACCCAGCAAGGTGCCAGGTACAAGCTACAAACCATAGGGGGCGGGGCTTATATTTAGGGCAGTGACGGCCAAACTGCAGCCCTCCAGCTGTGGTGGAACTACAAATCCCATGAGGCTTTGCAAGATTCTCACAGACATGACTCCCGGAGAGAGATGCTTCATGGGATTTGTAGTTTCACCACAGCTGGAGGGCCGGAGTACGTCCATCCCTGATTTAGGGGCAGGGCCGGGCCCCAAAGTGGAAAGTGGATAACACAATGAAACTGATTTCAGAGGGGTGCACAGGAGATGCTATTCTGCGTAATGAAAGTAACAAGAGCTTAGGCTTCTGCTGCCACCTATGGGTAAGACTCTTTGTAGACTCCTCCCCCCCACACACAATTCTGACCGGATTTGAGGGAATTTGTTCCTCATCTGAGCGGAATCCTTCCTGGGATTGGTCATCTGGGGGCCCACATTGACATGCAGTCTTCTCCTTACTCTGCATAGTCATCAATACACCAATAAGCAGTCCATATGGTGGCTGGAGCATGGTGGGGTTTAGAAGTCCGGGGGGGAGGGAGGGTGGACACATTACCGCTCTAGTCATGCCTGCAGTGCAGTGTTCTATCATAGTGCTGGCATTGACCTCTGACCCTTCTACAATGTCTCTGACAGGGGAACGCAAAGAGGAACGGAGAACTTTGTCCGAATTAATCTCAAGAAAAAATCCCATGTAAAAAATTTTGTGTTGAATGGCAGTAGACTGAGAAAACAGGTAATGTCTGGCTTGGGATGGGGCTGTGGCTAGGATGGGGTCCTCCTTGTCTGGCTTGGTATGTGGCTGGGCTGAGGTCCTCCTTGTCTTGCTTGGTATGGGGCTGTGGCTAGGATGGGGTCCTCCTTGTCTGGCTTGGTATGGGGCTGTGGCTGGGATGGGGTCCTCCTTGTCTGGCTTGGTATGGGGCTGTGGCTGGGATGGGGTCCTCCTTGTCTGGCTTGGTATGGGGCTGTGGCTGGGATGGGGTCCTCCTTGTCTGGCTTGGTATGGGGCTGTGGCTGGGATGGGGTCCTCCTTGTCTGGCTTGGTATGGGGCTGTGGCTGGGATGGGGTCCTCCTTGTCTGGCTTGGTATGGGGCTGTG